CCTAACAAGTCTCTAACTCAATATCTCATTCAAATGTTGCTCAATTTATTCGATAACTCCACACCAGCTAAGACTCGTGAGCACCCAGATCACTCAGCATGAGTGGCGTCACCCTTTGTCATACACAGAAAAAATAGAAGATCCCCCACTGCCGCCTACTGTTGATAGACTACGAATCATCGTTCAAAGAATCATGCTCAAGACTCGTAACACAACTCCACGTAGCAGGCCCAGGTGATCCGTAATAGTGTCATCTCTGCTTGAGGTACGCATTCTTATCGGTCCAGAGCATAGCCTGACCATACATGCACACGGACGAATCCCACACGCATACACCCATCACCCCAATCATAACAACTAGATGGCAACACAAAAAACAAACAGTTAAAGGCCACAAGCTAGAAAGCAAAAAAGCAACGAGCAACTCAAAACAAGTAAAAACCAAAAAGCAAAACGCAAAAAGGAAAGAGCAAAAAGCAAACATAAAAAAGCAAAGAGTACAAAACCATCATATTAAACCACCAACAACGAGCAACGAGCAGGAAAACCCGGTAAGCATTCGTAAGAGGCAGATCCCTTTCCTACTATCAAAGAATATGAGTGGTTCTCGAGCACCAATTAGCAATCACCATTATACCACACAATAGGGTAGGTGAAAGAAAGCAAAGTCTCGACCGGCTAGGGTGGTGGCAAAACATCCTTAAACATGTTTTTCGCCATTCTTGCCACAAAATGGCTCATCAGAGGTGTCCAGTTCGGACAGCACGACCCGTGGCCAACTTTACACCAGAGATGTACGAGAACCCTTCCTATAGTATTTAGTATAGATCGGGGGAGATAACTTGAGAGGATGGAGGTAGATCATATACTGGGAGGGAGTCGAGGAGGAGGCGAGAGGAAAGGAAGAGAAGGAGGGAAAGGATCGGGGAAAAAAATGGAGGGGATTCGTTGCACATCAAGATGGGGCGACCACATCACCTCCGGATTGGGAGCAGTTTCGGCGATGCCTTCCTCAGACAGATGCACGTTGAGCATCTCTTCGAATCCGAGCATATCATCCATGGTGGGACTACAAGATCCTCCTTGCTCCAAGCGCCAGAGAGAGCACAGGGGTAAGAGTAACGAAACCCCCCATAGGGAGTAAGGAGAGAGTAATCGCGACTTTTGCTGATAGCGCAATGGACACCCTCGGTAATGACGCGAAGGGCGCGGCGGTAAGCTCACAGGCACAGGACGTGGACAAAGCGAGTAGCGCTGATTGCAGCAGCGTCATAACGGGCACAGACTCTTGCGCGACACTCCGTAGTCTCGAACACGACTATCCTCGCAAGCACCCCAGATACGAAGAGCTCGTTTGAATAGGCGCAGTCGATACTACGGAGGAAGAGGATTAGCAAGTGTCTAATCCCTACAATAAATAGTTCATTAATCATAGTAGCTCAGTCCTAAGTACACATGAGACCTATAGTTCCGTCGTTCCGGAAGGTCCCATCTGTCCCAACCCTATTTTCAGAAGGGTAAGCGGGTGTAGTGGGACCGGTATTTTGAGGATCGTAGAGCGGGAAATCGAATCGCGGGTTGTCCTGAAAAGTTCCGTGGAAAATCAGTGTACCTTGCCCAGATTATAACCATATTCATTTTTTTCAAAACAAGGTACTACAGAGGTCATTGGCATACAGTTCAAACTCATACACTCTTTTTGTTCAAAATGGGTTCGCTTCTTTACTAGTACCCCGTACTATTTTTTCTTGATCTTTATATACATTCACTGGGGGGGTATTTTCTTATATCCCCCTCATTTTCAAGAGGGGAATCCTCAATCATCAATCAAATTTCCAAGGAAGTCTGTATATATGTGTGTGTGTGTGTGTATGTGTGTGTGTGTGTGTGTGTGTGTGTGTGTGTGTGTGTGTGTG